ATTTACAAATAAAAATATAAATGGTGCATTTTGAACACATATATAAATTGGATTATCCCTACGTATTGGTCTACAACTGACTGAACCTCCCACCCATCCCCTATTCTCACCTAAAATCTATGTCTGAGAACGGAATTTCACTCAGCTTCTGTAGGGACTTGCGTCAGGACAGTGAAGCTGAAGATACAGTTCTTCAGGAAAGACTTTCCCAGGTGGTGCACGGATGTGTGAGATCACTAGTCCTACCTGTAGTGTACTCAGTGGGCTCTTTTCCCACCAAAATCAGGATTCAGATAAGAAAACCTGTGAAGTAAGAGGATACTTTCACTCTGGGCAAAAACAAACAAACAAGAAAACCTCCTTTATTCTGAAAAATAAAGTCCATTCACCTACTTTATTCACCAAACTCGACATTATTTGAACCTATATTTAGTCCTTGGACCTCTATCTGTACCTGAACTATCCAATACAATAATCATAACTCACATGTGGCTACAGAGCACTTGAAATGTGACTAGCCCTAGTTGAGGTGCACTCTAAGTATAAATTCCATGCCAGTTTTGAAGATTCGGTATGATAAAAGAATGTAAATATCTCATTAATAATGTTTCTATTGGGCCGAGCCCATGGTGTACTCGGGAGAGTGTGGCGCTGGGAGCACACCAGCGCTCCCGCCGTGGGTTCGGATCCTATATAGGGATGACTGGTGCGCTCACAGAGCTCACTGGCTGAGCGCAGTGCGGCCGGTCTCAAAAAAAAAGGACAAAAAGAAAAAAAAAATAATGTTTCTATTGACTATGTGTTGAAATGATAATATTTCTGGTGAATTGGGTTAAATAAGCTATATTATTAAAAATTTCACCTGTTTCTCTTTACCTATATTAACGTGGCTACTAGAATATTTAAAATGATATATGTGGCTCATATTATAATTTTATTGAACACCACTGATTTAGAATAATACAAATCTAATAGCTTTAAATACCATTAATAAGTTGATATTCTCAAGCTTTTATCTCCACTTCCGCAACATCTCATACCTAAAGACCTGCATATCTTTTTTTTCACCTTGACTTTTTAACTTTATTTATTTTAAATTTATTTTTTGGATTGAAACATAATTGATTATACACATTTATAAGGTAGAGAGTTGAATATCAGTATTTTTGTTCAGTATGTGATGATCAACTCAACATAATTAGCATATTCATCATTACAAATCATAATTATTCTTTGTGTCACTTACCCAATTACTCCCTAAACACCCGCCCCTTCCCCCTTTGCCACCTCTAGGATTTATAGGTCTGTTGTCCTCTTCTGAAAGTTCTGTTTTATTGTGGTCTTTCTTTCGTTCTTTCTTTCTTTCATTTTTCTTTCTTTCTTAGCTCCCACTTATGAGTGAGGACATTCAATATTTCTCTTTCTGTGCCTGGCTTATTTCACTTAACATAATTTTCTCCAAGCTTGTCCATGTTGCTGCGAATGGCAGAATTTAATTCTTTTTTATGGCTGAGAAGTATTCCATTGTGTAGATATACCACATTTTCCTTATCCAGTCATCCTTTGATGGACATTCAGGTTGGTCCCATATTTTGGCTATTGTAAATAGAGCTGCAATGAACATGGGAGTGCAGGTATCCCTCTGACGTGATAATTTCCATTCCTTTGAGTATATACCCAGAAGTGGGATTGCTGGATCATATGGCAGTTCTATCCGTAGTTGTCTGAGAAGCCTCCATACTGTTTTCCATAATGGCTGTACTAATTTACAGTCCTACCAACAGTGTACAAGAGTTCCCTTTTTTCCAAATCCTTGTTGGCATTTGTTATTCTCAGTCTTTTTTATAATAACCATTCTAACTATGGTGAGATGGTATCTCAGTGTGGTTTTGATTTGCATTTTCCTTATGATTAGTGGTGATATTGAACATTTTTCATGTACCTGTTGGCCATTTTTATGTCTTTTTTTGAAAATCATTTATCCAGCTCCTTTGCCCAGTTTTTATTTTTATTTTTTTACTATTAAGTGGTTTGAGTTCTTTATATATTCTGGATATTAATCCCTTGTTGAATGTATAGTTCACAAATACTGTTTCCCACTCTGTCAATTGTCTTTTCACTCTGTTGGTTGTTGCTTTTGCTGTGCAAAAGCTTTTTAGTTTGATATAATCCCAGTTGTTTATTTTTTGTTGCTTGAGCTTTTGAGGTCTTATTCATAATGTCATTGTTCAGTCCTACATCCTGAAGTGTTTCCCCTATGTTTTCCTCTAGAAGTTTTATAGTTTCATGTCTTATACTTAAATATTTAATGCATATAGAGTTGATTTTGGTATATGGTGAGAGGTACAGGTCTAATTTCATTCTTTGGCACATGGATTTCCACTTTTCCCAGCACCATTTACTGAAGAGGCTATCCTTTCCCCAATGTATGTTCTTGGTGTGTTTGTCAAAGATCAGTTGGCTGCAAGCACCTGGGTTGATATCTGGGTTCTCTGTTCTGTTCTATTGGTTCATGTGTCTATTTTTAGTACTATGCTATTTTTGTTACTCTAGCTTCATAGTACAGTTTGAATTCAGGTAGTGTAATGACTCCAGCTTTTTTTGTTTGTTTGTTTTCATTCAGGATTGTTTTGGTTATTGTCATTTGTCTTTTGTCATTCTACATGAATGTTAGGATTTTTTTTTTATATTTCTGTGAAGAACATCATTGTTGTTTTGATGGGGATTGAATTGAATCTGTAGATCACTTTGGGTGTATGGACATTTTCGCCACATCAATTCTTTCAATCCATGAGCAAAAAATGTCTTTCCATCTTTTGGTGTACTCTTATTTTTCAGCTGTGTTTTGGAGTTCTTGTTGTAGAGATCTTTCACCTCTGTGACTAAGTTTATTCCTAGTTATTTTATTCTTTTGATAGCTCCTGTAAATGGGCTAGGTTTCTTGATTTCCTTTTCTGCTTCTTCATTTTTGGTATATAAGAACCCTACTGATTTTTGTGCATTGATTTTGTATCCTGCAACTTTACTGAATTTGTTCATGAGTTCTAGGAGTTTTTTTAGTAGGAGTTATGGGTTTTTCTATATATAGGATCGTGTCATCTGCCAACAGTGATGATTTAACTTCATCTTTTCCAATTTGTTTACCCTTTATTTCTTTCTCTTATGCAATTGCTTAGGCTAATACTTCCAATGCTATGTTGAATAGGAGTGATGAGAATGGGCATACTTGTCTTGTTCCTGTTCTTAAAGGCAAAGCTTTCACTTTCCCCCCATTCATGATGATAGTGGTGGTGGGTTTGTCATATACAGCTTTTATTGTGTTGAGATACTTTCCTTCTATACCTAATTTGTTCCCCCCATTCATGATGATAGTGGTGGTGGGTTTGTCATATATGGCTTTTATTGTGTTGAGATACTTTCCTTCTATACCTAATTTGTTGAGGGTCTTTAACATGAAGTGATGTTGAATTTTGTCAAATGTTTTTTCTGCATCTATTGACATAATCATATGGTTTTTGCTCTTGCTTTTGTTGATGTGGCATTTTACATTTATTGATTTGTGTATGTTGAACCATCTTTGCATCCCTGGGAAGAATCCCACCTGATCATGGTGTATAATCTTTACAGTGTGCTGTTATATTGTTTGCTAAATATCACTGAAGATTTTTACATCAAGTCTTGCATATCTAATTGCCTTGAATGTACACTTTGATGCTTATTAGTCAGATTTTAAGTGTATATTCCTACCCTTTGTTTTAGTGGAACTGCTTCAGCCTTTGTCTTGGCACTGGATGAGAAACTCTGGCTAATGTACATTATTCATATATAGGTTAGTCTGTTCTGTTAAGAGATAATAAAATAGATTTCCCTGGTATTTTTATATAACTGTATATATAAATCTTTTATTATAATTTCCTCCATATTTTCATGTGGAGACAACCACCTTCATTGAAAATTTGGATATTGCTAACCAAATCTAACTTTGTGTATGAAATCAATTTAAATATGGCACATAAAATTTTAAAAATTATAAGACATTTACATGTTTTAACAAATAAGATGGTGGACAATAATTACTTAATGTTAGTTCTTCTTTGAGATAAGCTATCAAGCCTGTTTTTTTTTTCCCCCCTACTTTCTTCTTAATGACAACAAAGAGCATTTGTGTTCCAAGGATATTCTTCCTGGGATTCTCATTGTGCTCCACTGACTTGTTCTTTTCCTAGGTGATGTGTTTATTCTTGTCAGCACACAAATAAAAGAATTCTGGGACCTGAGATATCATCAACCCAAACAGCCCATGGAAATTTAAACCAGTCTTGAGTCTGCCACACTTTTCAGTGGTGTATCTCTAGACACTTNAGGAGTGATGAGAATGGGCATACTTGTCTTGTTCCTGTTCTTAAAGGCAAAGCTTTCACTTTCCCCCCATTCATGATGATAGTGGTGGTGGGTTTGTCATATATGGCTTTTATTGTGTTGAGATACTTTCCTTCTATACCTAATTTGTTGAGGGTCTTTAACATGAAGTGATGTTGAATTTTGTCAAATGTTTTTTCTGCATCTATTGACATAATCATATGGTTTTTGCTCTTGCTTTTGTTGATGTGGCATTTTACATTTATTGATTTGTGTATGTTGAACCATCTTTGCATCCCTGGGAAGAATCCCACCTGATCATGGTGTATAATCTTTACAGTGTGCTGTTATATTGTTTGCTAAATATCACTGAAGATTTTTACATCAAGTCTTGCATATCTAATTGCCTTGAATGTACACTTTGATGCTTATTAGTCAGATTTTAAGTGTATATTCCTACCCTTTGTTTTAGTGGAACTGCTTCAGCCTTTGTCTTGGCACTGGATGAGAAACTCTGGCTAATGTACATTATTCATATATAGGTTAGTCTGTTCTGTTAAGAGATAATAAAATAGATTTCCCTGGTATTTTTATATAACTGTATATATAAATCTTTTATTATAATTTCCTCCATATTTTCATGTGGAGACAACCACCTTCATTGAAAATTTGGATATTGCTAACCAAATCTAACTTTGTGTATGAAATCAATTTAAATATGGCACATAAAATTTTAAAAATTATAAGACATTTACATGTTTTAACAAATAAGATGGTGGACAATAATTACTTAATGTTAGTTCTTCTTTGAGATAAGCTATCAAGCCTGTTTTTTTTTTCCCCCCTACTTTCTTCTTAATGACAACAAAGAGCATTTGTGTTCCAAGGATATTCTTCCTGGGATTCTCATTGTGCTCCACTGACTTGTTCTTTTCCTAGGTGATGTGTTTATTCTTGTCAGCACACAAATAAAAGAATTCTGGGACCTGAGATATCATCAACCCAAACAGCCCATGGAAATTTAAACCAGTCTTGAGTCTGCCACACTTTTCAGTGGTGTATCTCTAGACACTTTTAAATCAGTCTTCTTGCCTTTCTTAATAGCCACCTTTTGAATCTGGATCTCCAATCATACTTGTTAGAGTGTTTCCACACTCAGTTGGCAATTGCCTTATTTTCTTACTCACCTCAAATTTGAAATGGCCAAGACAGAACCCCTTCACTGCCTTTAGGTCTCCTCAGAATGCAGCTTAAACAAATCCTTTCCAGACCATCCTGTTTAAAAAAGCACTCCCACTCCCATTATTATCTATTCCTATCACCTGATTTGTTTTTATTCAAAGAATTTATCACAACTGGAAATATTGCATATTGTATAATTCTTTCTCTATGTCTTGATCTCTGTCTCCCCACACTGGAATATGAACTTCATGAGAGCTAGATATCTCTACTATACCCCCAGCACCCAGAAAAATGCCTAATATATAGTAGGAGCTCAACAGATGTTTGTTAAATACATTTATTAATTAAATAAATAATTAATTGAGTTCTTACTACTGTAGAAGCTATTTAGGAACAGTAAACAGAAAATATAATTCATATTCCCTGCCCTGAAGAAACTAATGATCAAACTGGCAGAAAACTAAAAAATAACACAAATGGTGCTGCAGTGGATATACAAAAGACAGACCAATTATGAGTAAATATTGGCAAAACTCAAAAATGCTATGAATTTTAAAAAGACTATTATTATTAGCTGTAGTGAGCAAGAAAAGATTCATGAATAGTGTCTAAAAATGGGCAAGGTATGAAAAGGACAGTTTTAAGCTCAGGTTGTAGAACTAAGATTATACTATGTTAATGTAAGATAGTGAGTTAAGTGGGAATAATATACATATATCTAGTAAGGTAGAAATAAAGTTTGAGGATAGATTGAGAGGAACCTTGAATCACATACAAACTAAAAAATTTGGAATTTGTTCTGTGTGTAAGTTGAGAGGAAATAAGTGTGGGGACTGATGGAAAGAAGGTTTAAGAAGTTAACTCTGGAATTTGACATGGGAGGCATCAGAGACAGTGACACTATTTATGAAGTTATTATGCCATCAGGTATGCAGTGTTGAGGTCCCGGACAAAAATCATGCGGGTAAAAATGACAAAGGATTGCAGAGAAGATGTTACAGACTTTAAAGACAGATCAGAAGTGGGTATGAGGAGGTGAGGAATATAATAAGATTTTATATTTTATATAAATAGTAAGTTCAGATTATAGATCAGTGGAGACATTGGAGAATTAGGATGGCTAGAGCTAATATAAAAGGAGACTAACAAATTTAGGATTAGATGTTTAAATTTGAAATGGATCTTCATGATCCAACAGGAGGCTGGAGATGTTTGACTAGAGTTTGAAAGTAAAGTTAGTGCTGGAGCTTCCCCACAACATAGATTTAGCCCATGGTTTCCTCATGAAGTACAACACTATAAATTAAATTACTACTTTAGAAAACAAGAAATTAGAGAGTAGAAATTACTTCTGAGAGACACATATCCAGATTTTTACAGAGAACCTTATGAAAAATAAAAGCACCTTAGGACTGGGTTGGCAGCAATCTTACAAATTCTATAGCTCTTTCGCTTACACTGAGTATTAACTAAACTACATGTGTCTGTATATGCTAAAGTGACAGCACTGGCAAAATTTGGGGAGTCAATCAAGTCAACATAACATCATTTAGGACCCTGTTTGTGCCCAGAACTATACTTGGAATTTGGAGAATACAAAGGTAGTGCTTTAGAACTGTCCCTGATGTTTCAGGTTTTGCTTTTGTGGGTTTTTAAAAAATCTGGTCATCTACTTGGTAAACTACTAATAATTGGTAAAGTACTTGTGCATTTGCAGTACATTCAACCATTGCTATGTTCTAGAAAAGTAAAACTTGCTTCAGTGAAGGCAGTATTTGAGGATATTGAAATACACCAAGCAGTACGTAATGAAAGCCAAAAGAGTAAGCAGAAACTCAGTTATAGTGAAATACTTGAAAATCTTACAATGAATTGCAAAATAATGAAGTCTATATAAAGTACAGACATATGTGGAATGTAATAGTAAAACTTCCTACAACTTAAATGATGGGTCTAATGAAGTCTTTGAAATTATCTTTCCAATACATGAAATTAGAACAGAATGAAAACAAAAACAAAAACAAAACAAAACATGATCTCATTTGTCTCATGATGTCTCATTTTCCTAAATATGAGTTATGCATTATACTAATTATACATTGACTCTTGTATCTTTTAGAGATTTCCTACAATAACACATACAGAAGTTTCTTTAGAGCCTTCTTCATATCTTTGTTCCGGAAGTTGTAGATCAGGGGATTAAAGAACGGAGTTGCCAAGGCATAAAACAAGGTCACAATTTTCTGCATCCCATGAAACTTCCCAGCACCTGGGCTAACATACATCACCATGACTGAACCATAGAACAGAGACACCACAGCAAGGTGG